GATAGATAACCTATTCTTGTGTGTTGATTGAGGATGCATACTTAGTTTGCATGCAGGGATTTGATGCTAGAATATAAGGGAGTTTCACCTAATAGTTATGAACTTATATTCACAAGTAGTAGAAGTTGCTAGTCACGATCGTGTTAAGTAAATTCCTGGCAGGAGTATCATGCAATTCATAGTTACGGATGTCTTGTCAATGTTTATGATTTTCATAGAACTTAATGATCTTTGATATATATCTCTATTATGCAGTTCATGTAGGGAACTTGATAAGAATAATTTGGTTGTGTTGTTGAGTCTAATTCAATGAATTTAGAAAAATCTGATGGTTAATTTGTGCAGTTCACGGTTAACTTGGGGCATTGTCATTCATGGTTTATAGGAAGAATAACTAGAAATCGATTTGTATGCACATGTGTCATGTGTGGAGAATGACCATCTAGCTAGCCTTTCACCCCTTTCATTCACCCTAATTTCATATCAATTAGTTTGTTTTTTGCAAGTTACTTAGTTTTAGTTTTAAATTTCATTCAAACAACTAGACTTGGCAGTTTTTGACACGACACGACGACACGACACGAAAACGACACGAAAATAACGGGTTTCGGGTCAACACGATAACTTATCGGGTCACTATCGGGTGACCCGTTAAGAACCCGTTAATAACGGGTTCTTAACAGGTATACACGCGGGTAACACGTGGGTAACCCGTTTCGACCCGTTAAGAAAAAAATTATTTTAATAATTTTAAAGTTTAATTACTAAAAGATTTATTATAAAATACAATAGTCATATTAATATATACAATATATTCTATATTAAATATATAGTTTTGTATTATTGTTCTATATAAATTATAAAAAAATTAAAAAAAAAATTTAGTCATTATTTATTTTTATTATGAGAGTTCCTTATTATCATTACTAGGATAAATTTTACATAACATATTCTTGTCCAAAATTAAAATATACTGGTATAGTATTTGTATATGCAAGAACTAAGAAGACATACATACAAGTATGAAAAATGTGAAAGAATATATAAACACTCGTGATTTATCATTATTCCTCCACGAATAGATAATTGTTACACTTATATTATCGTTTAGATTTTTTAAATCCTTCAAACCCTCATGAATAATGTTTTTTATTTGAGTGCAAAATTAATAAAATTAATAATAATTATTGTAGAAGTGTAAAAAATGTAAAAATATATATATATAATCACTCATATATAAAAAAAATGTAAATGCTTTAAATTAAAGATCAAATTTATTCATTACATTCTTATAGGGTCGAGGAGTGTATCTGTAAAAAATCATCAAAATCAGAGATAAAATAACCGTTAAATTATGATTTTTCGTTTATAACCGCCGAAAACTTTTGTTCCATTACGTAATCTCTGAATGTTTTTTTTTTACGATTTTTTACATATGCGATCTCGGAATGTGTACAAATAAGTTTGACGGTTGGATCGTTAAAAAAAGTTTCATAGAATGCATATTGCGTCAAAACGGTAGATTAAGCAAACACTTAGAGTTAATATTATACTTCTATTAAGTATAAAATAGGTTTTTGTGGTATCCACTAGTGTAAATACTTTAAATTAAAGATCAAATTTATTCATTACATTCTTATAGAGTCGAGGAGTGTATCTGTAAAAAATCATCAAAATCGGAGCTAAAATAACCGTTAAATTGTGATTTTTCGTTTATAACCGTCAAAACCTTTTGTTCCGTTACTTAATCTCTGAATGTTTGTTTTTTATGATTTTTTACGTATCCGATCTCGGAATGTGTACAAATAAGTTTGACGGTTGATCGTTGAAAATTTTTTTGTAGAATGCATATTGCGTCAAAACAGCACATTAAACAAACACTTAGAGTTAATATTATACTTCTATTAAGTATAAAATAAGTTTTTGTGGTATCCACTAGTGTAAATACTTTAAATTAAAGATCAAATTTATTCATTACATTCTTATAGGGTCGAGGAGTGTATCTGTAAAAAATCATCAAAATCAGAGATAAAATAACTGTTAAATTGTGATTTTTCATTTATAACCGTCGAAAACTTTCGTTCCATTACGTAATCTCTGAATGTTTGTTTTTTACGATTTTTTACGTATGCGATCTTGGAACGTGTACAAATAATTTTGACGGTTGGATCGTTGAAAAAAGCTTCGTAGAATGCATATTGCATCAAAATGGTAGATTAAACAAACACTTAGAGTTAATATTATACTTCTATTAAGTATAAAATAAGTTTTTGTGGTATCCACTAGTGTAAATACTTTAAATTAAAGATCGATTTTATTCATTACATTCTTATAGGGTCGAGGAGTGTATCTGTAAAAAATCATCAAAATCAGAGATAAAATAACCGTTAAATTGTGATTTTTCGTTTATAACCGCCGAAAACTTTTGTTCCATTACGTAATCTCTGAATGTTTGTTTTTTACGATTTTTTACGTATGCGATCTCGGAATGTGTACAAATAAGTTTGACGGTTGGATCGTTGAAAAAGGTTTCATAGAATGCATATTGCGTCAAAATGGTAGATTAAGCAAACACTTAGAGTTAATATTATACTTCTATTAAGTATAAAATAAGTTTTTGTGGTATCCACTAGTGTAAATACTTTAAATTAAAGATCAAAATTTATTCATTACATTCTTATAGGGTCGAGGAGTGTATCTGTAAAAATCATCAAAATCGGAGCTAAAATAACCGTTAAATTGTGATTTTTTCGTTTATAACCGTCGAAAACTTTTGTTCCGTTACTTAATCTCTGAATGTTTGTTTTTTACGATTTTTTACGTATGCGATCTTGGAATGTGGTACAAATAAGTTTGACGGTTGGATCGTTTGAAAAAACGTTTTTGTAGAATGCATATTGCGTCAAAACAGTACATTAAAAACAAACACTTAGAGTTAATATTATACTTCTATTAAGTATAAAATAAGTTTTTGTGGTATCCACTAGTGTAAATACTTTAAATTAAAGATCAAATTTATTCATTACATTCTTATAGGGTCGAGGAGTGTTTTTGTAAAAAATCATCAAAATCGGAGCTCAAATTACCGTTAAATTGTGATTTTTCGTTTATAACCGTTGAAAATTTTTGTGTCGTTACGTAATCTCTGAATGTTTGTTTTTTACGATTTTTTACGTATGCGATCTCGAAATGTGTACAAATAATTTTGACGGTTGGATCGTTGAAAAAAGTTTCGTAGAATGCATATTGAGTCAAAACGGTAGATTAAACAAACACTTAGAGTTAATATTATACTTCTATTAAGTATAAAATAAGTTTTTGTGGTATCCACTAGTGTAAATACTTTAAATTAAAGATCAAATTTATTCATTACATTCTTATAGGGTCGAGGAGTGTATTTGTAAATAATCATCAAGATCGGAGCTAAAATAACCGTTAAATTGTGATTTTTCGTTTATAACTGTCGAAAACTTTTGTTCCGTTACGTAATCTCTGAATGTTTGTTTTTTAAAGATTTTTTACATATGCAATCTTGGAATGTGTACAAATAAGTTTGACGGTTGAATCGTTGAAAAAAGTTTTTGGACCGCCAACAATAGATAATTTTGTAGTAGTGAAACCTTAAATTCATTTAACCGTTAATTGTTATTTACACTTTATTCTTCTGACTGAATTTCATTTTTAAAATTTTATTTTTTGAAAACATGATCATCTGGTGGATGTAAGAAGATGATATCACGTTTCGATATTTACGATTAACTGAAATATGAGTCAATGTCATATAATTTGTAGAAACTTTATAAACATCAAGCAATATTTTCACTAACCGTAGAACTCTAAATATAATATCAACGATCCAACGATCCAAACCGTTCATCTACCTGCATCCTCTAATAGATCATGTTTTCAAAAAAGAAAATCTAAAAAAACGAAATTTGATGAGAACAATGAAGCATAAATGTAAACAACAATCAACGGTTAAATTTTGATCTATGATTTATATGATTATAGTGGCGAATTTCGAAGTTAAGCTCTTCATGAAAGTTATAAAGCTTGTCATTACGAGTGTTTATATATTTTTTTCTATATTTTTTTACACTTCTACATTAATTAAAAAACTATTAAAGACTTTAGGTAAGCGAAAATATACTTAAAACAAAATTGCGTTTTTATGTTTTGGATGTGATAATATGAAATGTATATACTTATTTAGTATTATGTTTTTCATTTGATTATTTATTGGTTTAAAATATATTTTCCTTAACGGGTAACGGGTCGGGTCATATTACCTGTTAATATTATCGGGTCGATTTCGGGTCGGGTCATTTTACCCGTTTATTTTAACGGGTGTACACGACACGACCCGTTAAGATATCGGGTATGACACGAAAACGACACGAACACGAAAAACACGACACAAATGCCAAGTCTACAAACAACCCTCCGTGAGTATTTTGAGTCAAGTTAAGTTTAGAATTCGTCCAAATCACCCTTTAGTTCCTGTTGTGAGTCAATTTAACTTAGTTTGTATGTTTTGAGTCAGTTTAGCTTATTTTGAGTCGTTTAAGTTTAGTTTTCTGTTTTTGAGTCTAGTTTAGTGATTTAGAGTTTAATTTGTGTAGATTAGCATCCCTCTTAATTTCCGACCTAGAACGATTCCTACTTACACATACTACAACTATCAAAAACAGGATTTAAGTTTATGTGCTATTTTATATCACATCACAAACATTGTTCCTCACCGATGTGGGACAACTCTTAGTATGCTTCCGCACGTGTGGCAGATTTTCAAGCATATACGTGGACAACAACTGGATGACTTGGAGATGTGTGTGACTGTTTGGCTTCACACGAGGACAACTTACTCTGATACCATAATAAAATTGAGATTCTACCATAAAATCAATTGATAATATGGGAAGTAATCTAAAACCATATAAGCACGTAGCAAACTTTGTCTGCCGGGTGGGACAACTTTCAACAATTTTATGGGTCAAATTGAGTAGTTTTACCGTCTCTTTGTTGACCCCCATCCTAACATTCCAACCACAAGGAAAGATTCAGACAACTCGCAAGATGCAGAGATCCACAAGTGCTTCCAGAGTTTCCTCGGAGGAGGACTTGCTTCTGACGTACTCCTCCTCACCCGAATCTTCAACCTTCAAACCAACCACAGACGAGGGCTCAGATGGCGACCAGCACGAGCATCTGCATCTCCCCACATACGATCCCCTCTCTCATGTGGCAAAGAGAGAGCGACGCCGCATCAGGTCCGCAGAGAACGCCATCCACTTGATACCTGTCCTGCTCGTCCTCTGCGCCTTCATCCTCTGGTTCTTTTCCAACCCAGGTACAATATACACAACCTTCCCGTTTTGCCCATTTGTCCCCATATATTGTTGATTTCCTTTCCGGGTTATATTTGGAATTATGTTTTGTTTCCTGTATGATCGTTTCGTTTAATTTCATCTTCTCGGCAATATATTGTGCTTTTGTTTACCCTAAATTAATCTAAATTGTGGAAAGAGCATTCGAACTTGGATGCAGAAAGAGTCAGACTCACACTGCGCTACCCAACTTAGCCACGCCTGGTCCGCAGTTGGGCTTTTAAATACTGTGGCAGTATCTGTTTTATGAAATATAAAAGAAAAGTTAGCTGGTTGAGGCGACATGGATTAACATTTGATTCTTTCCTACTTCCAAGTTTAAGGATTATAAAACTTTAGAGTGATGGCATGTTTTGTATTTGTTATCTACTGCGACGCCTTAGCTTGAACTGGTATTTTGGAATGTTAGTTCAAGGATCGTCTAGGGTAACATTTTAGTCCGTTCGTGTTTGGCATGTTTTTTGTTGTCCTTTCGCTTTGTTTCGCGGTCGTTTGTATTTGTATTGCTGAGTGAAGTTTGTAGTTGAACAGATGTGTGGATATTTAAGTGACTCGCTTTCTATTTTTCTTGTCCAGAATGAAAGTTATCATGATTGATGGGAGATACCGATCTTGGGGAGCGGCAGCTTTCCATCAAACATAGAGTTGGAGTTCAATCTGAAGAAACGATTTATGGATGGCGATTGGGGTCCGCCCTTTTACCCGAGGAGCTCTTAGAAATTTATATGAATGTAAGATAACATAGACATCGTTCGCTTTAACATAGACCTCGTTCATAAACAATATAGTGTCTTGTACAATTAGTATTTTAAGATCATTTCAAAGCATATTTCTCATCCCTTGTCTTTTAATGGATTTTGAACTTCAATATTCCGCCATTTTCTGCGGCTCCAACAATGTTTTTAACCTAATTAGTTCCGGGGATGATGACATTGCCGCCAATGTTACACAACTGAAGTTTGTAGAGGCTCACAGTCGAAATTTGTGTGCTCCAACAATGGTCCTAACCTAACAAGCTTGGGAAAGATGACATTGTTCCGAAAAAAACACAACAGGGTCCTCCCACTGTAGGAGTGACCCTACAAGATTTGCACGTACAGTCAGCGGAAAGATGCGTGGCCATCTCTCGCTTCCATACGAGCTGAGAGCATCTTCTACGGACGCTGGTCCTGACTCGATGGCACCCGCAAGCTTTCTTGCCAGAATTACTGCATCTTCCAGAGCACAACAAGCACCTTGCCCAAGATTCGGAGTCATTGGATGCCATGCATCTCCTACCAGCACAACTCTTCCTGCTGAAGCCGGAGGGCTGATACCGGGCCACAGCCACCGGTCTACGAGTGGTGTTCCAATGATTGTGTCATCCGGGGTATAATCTATGATGTTCAATAGGTCCGAAGGCCAGTCTTTAACTAGTTCGGTAACTTGCTTCTTTAAAAATGGCCCGTCAGTAATCTTCGGACCTGCAATAAATGTACCACGTCGAAAAATCAACCATGGGAACATTTGTAGATTCCAATCATCGATCTGCATTGTTGGCCAGATTAGAAATTACCTAGAGATGCTCTGTTGTAGCAGACGAACCAGTAGACTTTGGTAGGAGAAATAGGAAGAAAACCGGCACGCTGTCCCTTTCCATAGATTTGATTCAACTTCGGTTCAAATGGCTGCCCGTCGGGGTAACTTGCAAGACCACGAAAAGCACAATGCCCTACATATTTAGGCTCAGGGAACCCCATCCACGTAGCTATAGGAGATCGAATTCCATCACATCCAATTACTATCTGTTGGAGTTCATCAGAACATATTGAAAAATTAGAAACATTTGGTGATCTCAGTTTCACCCTTCATCAATCTGCTAAACGAAAAGCGATTTATATCCCGGAAAACACGTATGAAACATTGTCAAAAGTGGTTATCGTATCTGAAAGAACTTTTAGTCATTGTAAAAGCATTGTCAAACTGACAGTGTTAACGGAAATTCAGAGTGGACTGAGGGTAACCTTTGCATATAGCTGGGTACCATCCAACAATTGCAACAAAGTTTCTCCATTTTCAGTTTTTTCAATCTTTGCCAGCTTTGAAGAGAAACGAACCGCACCCGGAGGTAGTTCTTTGGCAAGAGTCTCCAGCAGTATTCTCCTCTCTACAGCACGCACCTCTTGGCTGTTCCACCCATTTCAAGTGAGAAGAATGAAAGATTGATTTGCCATGTTCTCTAAGAAAAGAGAGAACGTGGAAGAATAACATGAGTTAACTTCATTACCTTTCATCTTCCTCTTTGAACTTGAAAGACCGTAGCTCTCTTCCATTGTCGGTCTTTACCACCATCCTGCACAGCTGATTCCATGAACCAGATCAGAGGAAATTGGGTAGGGTTTTTTTATGTTTTTTTAACAAAAAGTTTAGGGTGAGGGGAGGCTACCCCGTTCCAAGGTCAGGAAGTACAACAAGCCTCTTTGAGGACTTACAGATTGTTTAACATAAAACGGGTGGGGCAATTGTTTCACCTTTAACAAGCAAGTAGCTAGCTTCCACCTTACTTAACAGCAAGGCGCGAAAGCCTTCGTTAGGGTTCGGATAGGTTCATAGTTCGGTTCCCTCTGGTGTAACCGGAAACAGAGCTGGGAGTGGTTGTGTGAAGAATGAGGAAACGTAGACGATGAATTAAATGTGGAGATATATACTAGTAATTTGTAGAATCAGCATGAAGAAACATAAGATTGATTAGCTTACCCTTGAATTTCAAGAAACTGAGTCCTGAGATGGTTTCCAACTCCAATTGCATCCAGAACTCGCCACCCATTTTTGAAAAGGGTGAGTGATGTTCCTCCAGTTCGAAGTGACTCTGCTTGTTCAAGCACCAGCGACCCAACTCCAAGCCTATTCATCCAAAAGGAGAATATTAATACAAAGTTATCATATGCATATATGTATATGTATATGTATATGTGTGTATCTTCTATTGTATGACACACTTTTAAAACTGCATGGTCGAAGATTTGACACCAAATTTTAATACAGAAACGTTAAGTGAGATTTAATGATGCTGAGATTTTGAAGTAACCTGTGAAGAGAGAGTGCAGTGGCAAGACCAGCAATTCCGGCGCCGACGATGACAATGTTTTCACTGCGAGCACCGGATTGAGCTTTGATGATTGAGCAAGAATTGGGTTTTGTTCTGGTTCTGGTTCTGATTGGAGATTGAAACCAATTGGATTGGGTGCCAGAAAGTGATCCAATTTTCGAATGGTATGGTGAAACAAGTGGGTTGTGAAACACTAGGGACGAAGATAACGTAGCCATGCTTGTTTTCACTTGTGTTTTATTATTCAATTAACATTGCAGAGTTTTGAGAGAGAGAGAGAGAGAGAGGAGGAGGTGTTGGTCTGCCAAATAGCCATGGAAAAAGCAGTGGTTACCATGAAATTGGATTTCTAACATTTGGATCAGATAAACCCGGGAAAGAAAGATATTTCAGAGGCCCTTTTGGTTGCGGGTCTCGTGGCTTGGAGTTGGAGGCTTGGAGCTCGTCTGGGCTGGGCTTGTCTCTAAAATCACATACACGTCGACGTACGGTACGAGTGGCAAACGATGTGATGACAATATTGCAACTGAATTAACGCCAATATTAACAACAACAACGTATATTGACACAGTGGTCCCAAATTATACATATACTAAAACTCAAACTCGGGTGGCACTGTTTTTCACTGTTCATGAACAGTAAATATAGACTATATCAACAAAATCTACCAAATATCGATGACACATATCAACATTCATTGAATATGAACACTTCAGTTGACTTCATCGATGGTGAACAGGTTATGAAAGTTCAAATATTTTTTTTGCATTTGCTTCTATTTCTTAGCAGAAAAGCCTCGATTTCTAGTAAAGTTTGAATTAAAAGTTCTTGATCATTGAACTTTGGTGGTAAGGGGCTTTTTTTATTTTTTATTTATAAATGATAGCGTTAGTGAGTTAAACAGTTAGTAGTTAGGGAAAGAAGAATCAGGGATAATCGAACACGCACCAGAGTGCAAAGCATGAATACTTACCTCGATTGCGTAAAACGCTATCTATTGTAATGAGTTTGTTGGATGTGCGTGTATCTCACACAAAATCAAAGAGATTAATACATAAAGTTTGAGGAAGCGATTAATACATATAATGTCTACTTGCAACGAATCTCAAAATTTAGAGATGACTGATGAGGGCAACGAATCACATTCCTTTCAGAATTGGGAAAAAAATTTGATTAGTGGAGAGGAATCCACCACTAAAAGGAACGTACGAATTAGGGTGAGGGTGAAGGTGAAATGCCACCACTAAGGTGAATGTCTGAACCCACCACAGAAAAAAAAAAATTATGGATAAGAAATTTTCAAGTACCAAGAGATTGAGATCAAGTTATCAAGTACCAAGGGATTGATGAAAGGTCCTTCATTAACACTGAAAAACATGTATGTGAGATTTGTAAACGACTTCTCCCAAGTAGGGATTTGCAAATCTCTCTCACATATCTTAATAGGTTGAGTAATTTTCTACTTGTTTATCGTAACTATGTCCGATTCTATCCCAAATTAAGTTAATTTCTGCCTTACCTTGGCCGAATTACTGAGTTTACTGTCTTACCTTGCTTCTCAACATAATGATTTGTGTGAATATAACTACTTTTGCAACCTATAGTCACTGATATTATCCCTAACTTGCATCTTTAAAACTTACACAACATAACATATGTAATATTTTATCATAAAAAGCCCAGTCGTTCCGTATGGAACTATTCATGGTGGATTATACAATGCAACATATTTTGTCAATTTTCGAATGCAAAGGGTTCTGATTCTGGTAAGTATAACATGGATATATGAAGTTATGCTCTTTCCTTATAAAGTAGTTAATCATATGTAGACGCTACGAAATGTCGGTACAAGACTGGAAGAGCACGACCCTTGGATATAGAGGTCAGAAAGGAAAAT